TGTGGCGCCCGCGTGGGGCCTGCGGCCGCAGGCTCCCCCAGCCGGCTGCCAGCCACTGCTGCTTCGGCGTCCGGGGGAGACGCACCTTTCCAAAGGCTTCCCGTCGTTAGAAGGTGGTTGTTTGGAAAGAACTGATCCTTATTAATAGCTTAATTAATGGTTCTGATTAAAATCCCTGGATGACAAAGTGTTAAAGTATCAGCACTGTAAAACAGGTAACAGCCAGGGAAACAGATTAATAAAAGCTTGGGATTTAGCACGTAAACATATATAAGGCAGTGGAAAATCACTGTATGATAAAGGACAGCCAAGCATCTGAATGTACGGGGAAACATTTTAAGGAAAAAAACCCACCACGTTAAAGACTTAGAGTAAATTCCATTTTTATTTGGTTTACTAAGTCAAAAACATACAGATTGTTTAGTCCAATGCTTCCACATCAGATCCAGAGCAAACCGAGTCATGTGCTCTTACGGAAATAATACCACTGACCTCACCACACACCCCCCACCCCGTTCCGAAAAATTAAGAAAACTATGGGATAGGATCTGCGTCTCAGATTTGATCAGCACCATTGCATCGGTATTCAGTTTTTGTCAATGTACAGAAATGTTAGCCCCAAATCATGTCTCAGTACAACAAATTTTACTTCAAAATCAGAGCTTGAAATTATTCTTTCAAGGACAGAAAACAACTTCCACTCTTCAAACATAGCAAGTCATCACAGAAAACACTGGTAGCTGCTTGAAATTTGATTCTCCTTTTGAGTTTCAGTGCATTTTATGTTTGTGAAAAGGAATGTTAAAAACCAAGATATTTATTTAAAGAGTAGGTGAATACAGTCAACAGCAATGCCAGGTTTCTCACGTGCTCTGATCCCTTTCTTCTGGAGCTGGGCGACTCCCGCCTCACCGGAGCAACTCCGTTTCGCAACAGAACCACAAACCAAACCAGTTCAACACAAATTAAAAACGTTCTACATTTAAAGAAAGTTTACTGGTTCTCATTTTTAAAGCCATCTCAGGTGTTCAGGATTCACATTTCAAAAGGGCCTCACCAAGAAGACAGACTGATACATACCCTCAACAAGAAATTAACCCTTATTGCTAACAAGGAAAGTAACTCATTTCAAGCTCTGCATTTAAAGTGCCCATAACTTTTTTTTTTAACATAGCAACCAGCAGGCAACACGTAACTTGTGACATTTATCTACACTGTGTTATCACCACCTATGACAAAGAGCAGGCACTGAACTTTCAAAAAGTGTTATTACAAATCGCAAAGATTACATATTACCAAAAAAGTTAGCATCCATATTCAAGAATTTAAATATTTTTTTGCAATGTTATTTTATGTATATATTTATAGATGAGGAATTAACTGATTTTGGGGTTTGGCCCATTTCCCTCAAGTTCCTCACCAAAGAAATCACACTGGACCGTGTCAGCAGGGGAGTGAGTGCTCATGAGCTGACCAACAATGCAGAATCCTTGCGCAAATACCCAAAACCTGAGCTGGGAAAAAAAGCTACCCTCTGTTAACAGTGCTAGGTTACCTTTTTAAGTAAATACACTCCCCGCCCACCTGCCCAGGAACTAACATTTTTCCGCCCTCCACCCACGCGCACAATACACGGAGATGCGACGGATGCTGTATAACCAAGCTGCTCCTCCACGGCGCCATGTCTGATCAAGTCCATGTATTTCTTAAAGCACGGTGCAATTTTAGTCTGAAGCGCTTCCCCCCCCCGGTAATATCTATAAACAAAGCCTATTTTAAAATCAATGTTAGAAGTCGACGGTCTTGTTTCCCCTGTATCCTCAAAACAAGACTGGGCTGCGTGTTAGGAAGCACGCCTACGGCTGAAGACGTTTCGAACATTAGGTTGACTTGGTGCTGCAGTGTGGGTATGGAATCTGCAGGAGTCCCGGCGGTCACGTTGCCTCCAACTTACTTCTCTTTCATTTTTCTCAAATAACGAGCCCGTACCTGTTTGTTTGTTTTCATGAGTAAATTAATGACAGCAGGTGTCGGTAGAAGAGAGAAGATCCATCCCTAAAAAAACAAAAGTTGGAGTACAAAAATATTTCATATCCAACATTATTCTTGACTTTTCTTCCATAACAAACACACCCAAAGGACACTGCGGATCCTTACGTTTCCCAAGGTGACTTACCATGAGCGCGTGGGGTAGGCACCCGTTGGTCTGGGACTGCAGGCCTACCGTGCCCAGGGCAGCTCTGACGTAGGTTTCAGGACTGGGCTTATCGAAGGTCGGCTTGCGGATTTTGGACATTTTTGTTGCCACATAATACGGCAGTACACTCTGCACGTAGGAAAGATCATGTTAAGCAGGGAATGCTTTCAGATCAACTTACACTCCATCAAGGACCTAAAATTATTGGAAATTAGGTAATCTGTGTACTGAATTTTAGCTTGCTAGCTTTCTTTTCACTTCTAAGATCACAACGTACAATATCAAAAGCATTTTTAATCAGATATCTTCTGGCCCGTATTTGGAACGTGAAACATAGTTCAGTGGTCTGCTGGCAGTCAGCATCTCCAGCTGGAGCCCTAGAAAACATTTGCAAGCACATGGTTGAAAAGCCTTTCTTACAATTTGCCTTGTAAGTACAGAACTTGATTCCAGTTGTTTAACAGAAAACGCAGTACTGTTGCTTCTCTGTTTGCTTGGGAAGGAGGTGCAGAACCCAAGACGGGGATTTTCTACCTAAGTAAAAGCTCCTCAGTTTGGCACCTGTACAGAGAGAAACACAAAGGCAGGAGGAAGGAGGAGAAAAGGGAACACCAAGAGACCTGGAACATTGAACCTGCAATTCCCACAGAAGGGTTCAGAGGAAGGAGGAGAATATAAGTACCAGAGTAGAAGACCTCAAGGACAGAGGGAAGGATCAAGAAACTGAGCACAGTTAAAGGCCTTTTATAGCAATGTTTTGGAAGAAACAGGAAAAAGTGGTGGTGGGTCACAGAAATACCTGGCCCTGGCATAATGGAAAAGCAGGAGGAAGCAGCATGGGTATGTTGTTGACAGAGAGACACTGGTACCACAGAGACATGTGAGTGATGGGGCAAGATAGGCCTGGGGGTTCAAAAAAATCACATTCCACCTAGCTCATGCTACCGGAGAAGGAAAGGTGCACGTATACACTCATACGCTAGGAAGCAACCCTCTTTCCTCACAGTCATGGTTTTGGCGTTGCTTCCAACTCGTCCTTGATCTAGGCCTCTAAAGAAGTAATTAAAGAGGGCCTGGTCTATACTCACTTAGTCAGATATTGACCATACCAGATCTCAGATGCTTAGAAAGGTTGGAAACTTGCCAGCACTTTGACACGGCCCTGTCTGTGGCCGTGCCAGTGATTCGACACACACACAGTCACTACTGCCCGTCACAACAGTGAGCACTGTGATTCGTGTGCCTTTACAGCAGGTATCCAAGAAGTGTGTGGCCACTTCTGCTACGCTAAGGGATCTCAAAATGGAATACCATCTTGAAACTTGGTATATTTGGGCAAGTGACAATTTGGAAACCTGCTTCCCCACATTAATCTCTGAGAAACAGACCACACGTGCTTGACCTCAGACAAACTTAGTATCACACTCTCAGAAGCATAGCGTGGGGAGGGAAAGGACCCCTTGAGCTCGCACTAACTAATTGTTCATGCCATAGCTGTCCATATTTCCACAGGAATTTGACCACCACACACAAGAATCATTGTGTGTTCATTCCTTCACCTTAGAACATTAAAACCATGCCCTTCTCTCTATAAATAGGACTTTCAACATTATACTGCATGAGTCCACTTTCAAATGAAGAGAAAAAGCATGGAGCCCTGAATTTCAGGACTGTGAACAGTCACCATTGCCTTTAAAGTCCCCAAAAGCTACAAATGCTTGGAAAAGAAAACTACTCATTCTGTTACCATAACAGCAGAGGTACCTAGTCTCACCTCTAAATGTGAACCTCATCCACTTTTCAGGTTACATTTCTAAACTTAATCTCTAGTTTGGTGTTTTAAAAACAGAAAACAATTATAAGCTTCTTATTCACCACTAAATGGTATCTGTAACATCCCCACACAGAGTGACGTGATAGTTATAGTTGAAGATTTATTTTGTGCCTTCCTCTGCTCAAAACAGACTTTTTAAGTGAGCTGCACTACCCAGTTAAGCCACTGGATAGCACGAAGAGGCAAACAATCGTGCATGAAGTACTTGAAAGAGCAAGCACACTGTAGCACTGCTGGTTAGCTATTGATCCGCAGACTTCAAGGCACACAGCAGCACAGGATTACACTCCAACATTTTTTTCCCCTCCCAAAAACTCTCCAGAAAACAGAGACATTAGGTTTACCATCTTCCTATTAACTGTACCATATTTTAACAGCCATGAAGAGACCTGTTGAATCCATTGTTACTTCTTCCCCCCTCTTCCTCCCCACAAGGAGCTCAGACATACATGAAACATATCTAAAACGGACAATGTCAGATTTTAAAAAAATTCACTGCCTAAAGCCTTTTAGCATTTTGCATGCAGGCAGCTATAAGCCACACTACCTGGGCAAGTAACTGTATAGAAAATTCCTTGTCTTTACCCAAGGAAAGCCTAGCCTGCTCTTCAGTTTCAAAATATGCCTTAAAAGTAGCTTATGTCAATGCAATGTCTCTTGCTCACTTCAAGCATTTGCTACTGCTTACAGCTCTGATGCTTATTAAAATTGTCTGGCACTCAGAATTGAGGTCTTGAATGTTGTAAGGACGCAAGAAGTCAGATTTCAACCCCTGAACAGATGCCTCTACTAATTATGCTACAGTGACATGAAAATAAGCCCCAAAAAGTCAGAATAGCTTGTTTACACAATTTTATCACTTATTTTACCTTACTTTTTCAGAAGACCTGAGCTCTCAGGTGTTTCCAAAGAAGTTTCTTTGTATTTCTTTGTAGTGAAAAGGAGAGTGAGTGACAAAGGGGAAATGGAAGAACTGCAGCAACCAAAGCTGAACTGTACAGAAAGCTAAAAAGCTTTGGAGGAAGGAAGGCAATGACATTAGCCATTAGTCTGGTGACAGCACTTCTGTGAACACCTGGAGAGAGCGAGCTGGGCTTGTTCAGGGTGGTAAAAAGGAGGCTGGGGGTGACCCAATACTTGCCTAAAGTTATTTCAAGGGCAGTTACAAACATGAGAGCCAAACTCTTCTTGGTAGTGCCAGTCAGAATAACAAGAGGCAAAACTGTCAATTTTGTCTGTGGATGGTTGGATTGGACACTAGGGAGAAAGTCTTTTGCTAGGAGAGCAGTACAACACTCCAAAGAGGCTATCGAGAGAGGTCGCAGCATCCCTCTCCTTGAAGGTTTTCAAGACTTGGCTGGATAAAACCACAATTAGCCCATGGCCTAGTGCTAGCAGCAACCCCACTGCTAACTGCTAGGAGAGCAGGAGGTTAGACTAGAAAACTTTCTAGAGATCCCTTCAAACAAATACTTGCAAGATTTTTTGATCTCATATTTTATTGTGGATATGGTAGAAAACAGGGAGTGAAAGTTATTACTGTGGCGCTTTTGTTAAGCATAGTAATGAAGTATAGAGGGAAGATGGCAATAACTAACCAAAGTTAAAAAAAATAAAAGGGGTAAAGAACCAAGCAATATTTTTTGTGTATTCAAAGAGGAAAAGGTTTCAGAAGAGTCTGCAGAAACCTTTCTGGGAGATGTTTTACCAAAAAAGTCTTGAGAAAAGTTCTTATCTTCCTCATTCCTTTTCTTTTTGCCTCTCTTTCTCTCCATGTAAACATGCACAGAATCTTAACCTACTGTGCTGCTTCTGTAAAATTAAATAGGCCTGTCAGCCACAAAGAAAATATCTTTAAAGATGGCTAGGTTGCAATAAAAGCACTATATACTATCAAAACCTGCCTTCCACAGAGAAGGCAGTTGAGTAAAACTGATAGACTTTAGGTTCAACTTCAGAAACAGGTAAAATCCTCCCTGCACTTTGTTTCTGCTTTTCACACAGCGCTACTCCGCGGGTATCGGCATGGTAAAAGTTAACTGTTCTAAATGGTGATCTCAGCTGGAAGATGGGAATTAAAAGGGCCGTACTTCTGAAGGTCAGAGAGATGAACTTCAAGGAATCAAAGGGGGATGTAGTCTTCTTGAGGGCTGGAAGGAGATACGTCAGCTAGTCTTCACAGGGATGTACTCGTAATATTAATCAGTGGTTTAGAGTGACTTAGGCTGGAACGAGAGGACAAGGACATGGACTGCAATAAAATTAGCATAACAAATTGAAGCTGTGACAGCTATTGGTCATCAGGCCCACATTACTCAGAATAGCAATTCACTGTCTACATTTAGGGGCAAAAAAGCAGTGCTGTCAGGAATTCAGCACCCTTACCCAGCATGGGAATTACAAAGACAGCTTACCACAACCTGTGAAGCTTGTACAGGAGAACGTCACTCTTGATACAGAAAGACAGCTTTAATTCTTCATTGGTTTATAATGTTAAAAATCTAAGACATTGATTTTTTTTTCTAGCTTTTCCATACCCACAAGCTAAAATAAAATAATCTTCCCCATACTACGTACGTTCATAAAGTGTTTAATGCCTTTAGCCAAACACTAGTTACTCAGTTTTTCACCTTTTTGGTTTCAACAGGTACTCCGTAGTCATAAATGAACAGTACCTGCTCCTTCTTTGTTCTCCTCTCAAAGTGACTATTTAGACAAAATCTGGGGAGGAGGAGACAAATGCACATAGCAACAACACGTCCCAAAGGTGCAACACTTCTTTCTCCTGCAGCATCGGTATCTAAATATCCTCATTCTAAGATAACTATCATCAGCTTTACCTGACAAAGCAGAGAAAGAGCTCAGACATTGTGCCACAACACTCACATCACACCCAGTGAAGCTCTGTGTTGAAGGAGCCCATGCCTCAGTCTGAAGAAATCCTACTGGAAGACTTGGTATTATTGATATAGGAAAGAAATCTCTACCATTTCCTTCAGTGAGACTGTGGCCACACATTAAGAGGGACACAATGCATGTAGACGAAACTGATTGGAAGAACAGATGTCTCATAATGAAGCTAAATCTGCAAGTAAATACAATTTGAACCACACTGGGGAGATAGAAGTAATACAGAAGGGTAAAAGTGAAAAGAAAGCAGTAAGGAACTTGCAGTATGTTAACAATTGACTCATTTCAGAACAGTTTGGGGCTGAAGCCAGAGAAAGATTTGGAAAGTGCTGTGAGAAGGAGAGTAGTAAGAGAAAGTAACAAGGAGACACTAAAAGTTGCTCCAGCTTAATCCACTTCAAGAAGTGAGAGCACACACCATCCACCCTGTATGTTGAACCTGTACCTGTTTTGAGTGCCAGCTTTTCAGGCACCCCTCACTGATGCACACTGGTTTAGCTGAAGGTACATCCCAGAGTGCTAGGGCATCGAGCACTCCGAGGAGAGGTTACGCTTTGGGAGCCCTACAACAAGTTATAATCTGTTACCAGCGTAAAACTGATGTCATCTAGTCTGTCCTCGAGGTCTGTAACTACAGTAGCTAGAATGCTTTCAGGGACCACCTTTGCTAGCTTCCTCCCCACTGCCAACTGCCCCCAAAATAAACAGCATCCCTTAAGATGTTTAGTATATGGTTTAAATCTAGGTTGAAATGGAGTTCCCATTAAAGGGTCAAGGAATAGCTCTAACAGCAATTGTCTATTTTCTTAACATAATCCTCTCTTGGAAACTGTGACAGGACGTTATACTAAACATCGAGGACTAAACATCTGGATACTAAACGGCAGGACATTTCCTGGTGGTAAGTTCTTGTTTTGCTAAGTATGCTTCAAGGGGAAAAAAAAACCCTAGCATGTCAGAAAGGTAACAGAGCCTTAAGACCTTCTCTGTGGTCTTAGTCAGTAACAAAAGTTGTGCTCTCATGCGTAATGAGAGCACAATTGAGGCAGGCAACTTTGTGCCTTGCTCCTTAGAGGGCCCTTCAGAGGTCAGATGGTTTTGAGAACCACCATACAAACAGGGGAACGACCAGCATGGACGTAGGCTAATCCTGTTTGTAAGATGATCCAAAACTGAATTTACTGCCTTCACAGCACAGGGAAGATCTTACACCAGCTTTCTCAACTGACTATTTCTCTGGAGAGCAACAGGTGTAACAAGTAATGAAAAACTCAGTGTTTGCGACCAAAGCTGGAAATTCCAGCTACGGTTTGGAAGCAAACACTAAGACTATGTGAGAAGTGATATTAAAGCAAAATCCTATCAAGCTGTGAGACTTGGTTTGCTTTTATGCCCCATCAAAAACAATTAAAACCATGGAAGGTAAACAAATGGAGGGGAAAAAAAGGCAAGAGTCATTATGTAATGGACTGATTTCATTTTCTTTAGTACTGGATTTCCACATTACTACAGAGGGTCTTTGAGGCTTTTTTTTGTTCTTGCTACTATGCTCACATTAGCAGCATATCCACTGATGCTGCCGGGACTGCTACTATTCTAGTCTTTTGAGCAGTTTTCCATTGAATCTCTGTACAAACGCACTCCCAAACTGCATTCCAGTAGATGAAGTTGTATAAACATGTATTCTACAGAGTTGCACAGAGTTTCATGGAGTATTTTATACTTAGACATTCAGTTATCACCATCATCTTACAAAAAAAACCCCACAATCCCACAAAAGACAACCAAAACCAAACCATTTTTTTTTTTGTTGCATGGAGACGCATTGTTTCAGAGTAATGTAAGAAAGCTGCTAATGGGATCAAAGGAAATCCTTATCCTTAATCTGTGTCACATATTCATCAATAAGAGAATATGCCGATTCCCTTTTGTTACCAAGACACCAATGTTGCTGTGGTAACCACACTTACATGAAACAAACTCTACTCACCTGCACAATGATGCCCTTGCTCTTGTATTCTGCATGGAGGCCTCGGGAGAAGTAATCCACAAAAGCCTAAAGAGAAAAGGGAAACATGCAGCATGCTACACATTAAAATGAAAGCTATGGTTTGCAGGTTTTTGTAAGCATATTGAATTACTACCTAGAGCTCCTGTTTTCAAAGTGAAAAACCTCAGGTTTTAAAAAACACCTTTGCATATTAGAACAACGCCATTGGACTAGATAGCATATACTTACATAGTATTTTTACAGAAGTGAGGCTCAACGTAAACAATATAAACCTCTTTTTAATTTCTAAGGAAAAAAGAACTAGATCACAAAGCCTAGTTTAAAAAGAAAAATAAGACATTGTATGTTCACATTGTCCATACTTATGTCATCTCCTTAGACTTTTTTTTTTAAGAGAGATTTAAGTATGTATCACCTGTACATGGATTTTAAAACATAGCATTTGAATACTTTCTCTTCTGTCTTTACCCTTGAAAGTGCCATCCTACAGTGATACTTATTCCTAGACCCAAAGCCCGCCTCCAAAGATTATCTTCCAAGCTTCTGAAAGTTTTAGAAATTACAAGACTAAAAGTTTAAAGGAAGCAGTGGAAGGGTTTAAAAGGTGGATGCTAATACCTGCCTTCAAGATGCCCTCACATCTGATACAGCCACTTCCATAACCATGCCAAGAAAGCATTGTCCTAATAACCCAAGGCTACGCAGCGATCCAAAGCAGCGTAGGTTCTACCTTCCCGAGTTGTTCTAAACTGCCTTCCCCCTTTCCCCTCCTGCAGTCCAGAGAGACAAAATACCAGGTTCTGCTATGGTTTCTTGTTGCAGTGAAACAATACAGCCAGGTAGAATGAATGGAGTACCTTCAACTGAAGGAACTAAGCTATCTTATCCACGCTTGACGCTAAGATAAATACTAAATAAATTAATTCAGGTATTTAAGAAGCAGTTGCTTCAAAGCAGTTCCAAAACAAACAGCAAAGCTCTAGTATTGCACCTGCTTTACAGTCTTCCTTTGGACATCACGTCACCAGTGGACTAACACAAATCCTAACTGAAACCAGCACAGTGCGCCCAGTGTTCTTTCCTGTCAAGGTCACCCCACTGAACTCAGCCTATGCAAGAAGCAACAGAAACACTCCCACGCTACTGGGCTATTTCTGTAGACACTCTTCTAAGCATACAGAAGATCTGAAAGAAAACTAGTTTTTGCTGCGTAGGTCCTTTTATCCTTCATCTTGAGGTTGCATGCACAAGCTAGAAGGAGGCTCATTAAACCAAAAAAGCTTATCTTCTGTCCAACTGTTCTTTCCTTCTCCCTTTCTCCCAAACCTAAGTTCTTAATGAAATTCAGTACTCTACATGAACGAGACTCAGTCTGGTCTAGCAGCAATGATTGGAGTGAGCTATCCATCCTATTGCAGCAAAAAGGCACTTGCGCAGACATGCAAATGGTTGGTTGCAGTCCCTGAACACAGCTGCCCGACGTAGGCGTGCTACCTGCACAGAGTATAGCAGTTGTCTATTAAAAATAAAGACATAAAGCTATGGTGTGTTAATCAAAGTGCGTTGATCATTCAAATTTCTAACTGTTTCTACATGACAAATCCCGGAATCAGTTACTGCTCCAAATAAGGAGAGACAGTATAAAAAGACTGTTACCTCTACTAGTTGCAAAGAGCTTGCCATAAAGAGAATGTTCATTTTACATGAGAAGAAAACACACCTTCCAGTATCCAAATGAGCTTTGGAGTTTTTCTTGAAGAGTTTATTTCAAGACAAGTTGGGTTTCCTACCTCCAGATGCTCAAGCCCAACAACCTTTAACTTAAAAAAGTCTTAAGAACACACTCTAAATAAACAGCCTCCGAATAAGCAGATGAACATGGCATGCTAGAATATTTGTCTCCTTGGATATGCAGTGACAAATCCAAATACTAAAGACATTGGGTGGGAGAGGGAGAAATAATCATATTTCAGTTCTCATCAGTATTAATAGAGGTAGATATGTAAACCTGTCAAAGAAATAGGACAATGATCCCTTTAGAAGTGTCTCATTTCACTGTAAAATAGGGAATCCTCCACAGGAAGGTTAAAGACCTGGACTGATAATTAGCCAAAGCCATTGACCTAGACCTGAAGGATACTATGCTTTAAATCCCCTCTGTATAGGCAAGAAAAAAAGCCTCTAGAAAGTGCAGATACAGTCTTTCTAAAGCTACATCAGGGAAGTCACTTTCATACTTAGCAATCTGGCTGTGGTAGATGATGAGCAGTGCTGAGAACAGGCAGATTACTTCACCTGTAATTGAGTTTTAAGGGGAGGGGAAGAAACATTTGAGATTCTCATTGAAAAAAAAAAGACTAATCAAAGCAGCGTATGGCATACTATCACTAAAATCAGAAGCTCAGTTCATTCCATAAAGCTAAAGGCATTGCCACAACGTAAGTGACCTTTTGTATTAAAACAAAGAACTGTGCTCACAGGAAACAACTATTTCAAGAGCAAATTTTATCAGCTAAAACTAATGGAAGCCCTCATGATTTAAAAACTTAAATATTCCCTCCTTTAGAATGAATAAAGTAGTGTGCATCACTTCCTTTCTGGAAACATGAAGATGTTACTGAGAGCCTAGAGGAAATGTAGGTCTGCTCTGACATGACTGACACTCCTTGAAGGTTTCCTCATCCTGTCGAGGTTCTGCTTTGACTCTGAAATCCTTGCAGTTTTTCTAACTACCAGGTGTGCGTGGAAAAGCTGTTGTGCCATACTGATTTAATACCAGTGCAAGTGTGTCTTCCGTTTACTTTTGTCATGTATATTCTAGTTCTGTATGGTGTATACCCATATTCTGCCTTTACAGTGTTAACTAGGTCTTTTACGGGGACATTTTAGAGGCCCCCATAAGTATCTTTCGAGGAAAAAAAATAAGACCAGCTGCAGTAAGACAAAACTCTCCCAGTGACACAGAGAAACCAGAGCAGACAAATTTAACAAAAAGTGCAGATCTAGTAGTAACTTATGAACCAGTAAAATAAACCGGCCTATTGTGGAAGACAACTGGAAATTTCAGTAAAAGGAGCATTTGGCTAAGCAGGAAGCTTCTTGATGAATTAAAAATGAGCATATGAGAAAGTCCAAAGAACTAACAAAGAGAAACATAAAACATTATTGGGTACTCAAAAATAAAATCCAAGCTAAGAAAAGACTAGCAAAGAATATTAAGGCTAGCAGTAAAGGATCCTACAGGCACACTAATTTCAAGAAGAATTTCAGAGAAATGGAGGTCTGTTGATGGATGAGGGAGACAACCTAGAGATCAAGGATAGAAAAAGGTTAAGGTATTAACACTTCTCTTGCCTTTGCGCAGGCAAAGCCTGCTCACGTGCCTCTGCGTGCACCAGTTTTGTTTAACGAAAGGGACAGGCAGCGACAGCAACAATTTAGGGACTACTCAGAGAAGCTGGATGTATTCAAACCCGTGGAGCCACCATGGATTCACTCAAGAGTGCTGAAAGAAATACGCTCTATGTATACAAGTCTGCTGCTCACAATATCTGAAAAACTACAGAAACCATGTGAGGTCTTTGACAACTGGAAGAGGGCAAACATATCCCTCCTTGAAAAGGCAGGAATGATCCCAGCAGCTTGAACTCAGTTTGTGGAATGATCAGGGAGTCCTCCCCTTGGAATTCGCTTTCAAGCACACAAAGGACAAGAAGAAACAGTCAACGCAGATTTACCAACAGCAAGTCATGTTTGACAAACTAAATTACATTCTACAATGGAGTTTTGTAGATAAGGGAAACAGATTTTTAATACATATAAACAGTGTGTGTGCATATATAGAGATATGTTTTCACTTCAGTAAAGCTTTTGACACCATCTTCTGCACCATTCTCATTTGGAACTCGAACAGGTATGTGCTGAAAGGACAAACTGTTGGCCAGACTGAAAACTGGCTGGACCACCAGGCTCCAAGGACCCTGATTAATAGCTTGACATCTGGCTGATAACAAGCAGAACCCTACAGATCAATACTGAGCCCCGTATTCTTCAGCATCTCCTACCAGCGGCCTAGATGATGACACAGAGCACACCCTCAGCAAACCTGCAGATGGCATCAGATGGAGCAACTGACATGACAGAGCTTCAGTCCAGAGAGACATCACAAACTTGATTACTGTTAAACATCATGAGATCTCTCAACTGACACAGAGTGAAATGCAAAGTTCTGCACACATAGTGGGATAATGCCATACCTTAATTTTGGTCAAGTAGCAGCCCTGCTGCAAAGAACCTGGAACTTATGGTGGCTGCCAGGGAGAAGACAAGCCAATAATCCATAGATTCAACTCCTTGCAAGAACATCAAATGACATCCTGGGCTATGTGAGCAGGATGTATCATCAGCAGATCAAAGGAAGTTGACTACTTGGTGATAGCGAGGCCCTAGAGCTCTGTTCTTTCTCTTGCCTGAAATGCTAAACTTCTAATAACATCTAAACATCTAATAAAAAAGGTCAAATGTTTGGTTCCAGCAAGCACCGGAAGAGTCCTACTTAAATACACGTATATACATATACGTTGAAGATAGGCACCAGTTCAGGGTGTTAAACCTGACCAATGTCCTTTCTCAACCTCACACTAAGCTTTCTTGGCACACTAGCATCCTTTTCCATGTAAAAGTAGAATGCATGATGAAATATATAAAATACTTGTTTCCATGCCAGTAAACCCTTGCATTCCTTTTTCTCTTGACTTTCCAGCATCCACTATTGGGAAAATCTGGAAGTCCAAATCTCAGTACTTTTAGTTCATGAAAGCACCACTAGATGGACACCAAAACATTTATTCCTGCAGTGTTGGTTTACATCTGACACTTGATTTCAGTGTGGAAAAGAACACTTACCTTGGTTGCGGAGTAAAGAGTCAGCAGTGGAGTTGGATACATCCCAGCAGCTGAGGAGATATTCAGGATTACCCCTTTTGATCTGAAAGGCAGTGAAGATATATTGTCATGAAACAAAGGAAACATTTTTCACCTTTCAGAAAACTACTGCAAATCAAAAAAAAAAAAAAAAAAGAGCACACCACCTTTAGGATACAATTGAGATAAAGATCAGTTTAAAAGCCTCCACCAAATCCTAATTGGGAATTTACTAAAATGACTAAGCACAATGTAAGTATTCAAGCAGCTGGTATAAATCAGGAACAAGTGCAAGATCAATACAACAAGAGAATCAAGCTCCATACATCTACACACACACAGGGCTAAACTATGCAAAAACAATTGAGTGAAGTGGGCACAAGTCTGAAAAAGGCAACTTCCAAGTCTCAGGCTAAAGGTGGCAGAAATGGTAACACAAGTTTGTTGTGTAGTTTACACTTCGATAAACCCTTTCATCTTTTAAATGTTACTTCATGATGTATCTTCAAGATAGGAAGTATCTGAATCTACTGCTCAGCTACAGAAGTGTTTTAATATAGTACGGAAGATATTCAGTGGAAGACTACAGAAAATTTGTTGTTTTACAGCTGTAACAAGCACTTCTAAAGCATGTGCAGGTACGACAGGAAGTAGCACTCATGGATTTCCCCATCCGTTGACTGATTTTGGGCACGTCTGTAGGTAAAACTAGTCTCAGAAATAAAGACATATCATTTATTGCTAGGTAGAAAGAAGAATTAGTTTTAAAAGCTTCAGGCAAATTAAGGCAAGTACGCTGTTAAGAGGTGCTGCCAGACAGCCCAACCCAGCGCAAGATGCACCTCGGCTTCCTCTTACTAGGTAGGCAATTCAAGCCCGTTTACCTGAGCATACTAGGTATGCTGTGTTTAGTGCAGAGTGAGAACATTCACGCGGGTAGGCATCACGCAGCTCAACTCCTACAGGTACACATACGAGTTCCTCATCGTATTTGTCCATCTAGGTATACCCTATGCCGCTGCTGCCACAGTGATCTAAGTAACCGTCTTAAAAACAGTTGCATTTAAGTGACCATTAAAAATTAAAATAACTCTTGGAAAATCGTGACAACAGATTCAAACCAACATGACTTCTGTCATGATACAAGTGTGAATGAACTCTGTGATTCACCTCTAGAAATGAGACGGCTAACATGACAGAAGAGAATCGTTTCAGTTGTTCAGGGTTTCAAACACCTTTGGCAAAGTTGGTTGTATTTTTCAGGAGTTACCTGCAAGGCTTGGTTGGTGAAATAAGGTAGTAACATGGATCAAAGTATGTAGGATGGAGACAATAAGACCACAAAAATCATGAGTTTTCACAACAGCAAAAGGTTAACAGTGGATGCCAGAAGTTTTTCATATCAAAACAGGTGGTTCTTGTGATATTTATTCACAAGCTCAAATGGGGATTAGCAGTGAAATGAGTATTCATGCAGTTTTTAAGAGATTACCAGATTGGAGAATACTGTAAGGAACTTTTTAAAGAGCTCAGATTGCTATGTGAACAGACTACAGAATGGCAGATGAAAAATCAGTATCAGCAAAACCAACAATGAATATTAAAGAAAATAATGTGAATTAACCACAAACCTTGCAGGACTCTAAATCAACTATCCACTCTCTGGAAAACCTGAACAAAGTCCACAAGGAGTTCTCTTTTGTGCAGCAGTCACTGAAACTAGCTAAAGAACAGGATGGTGGGAGCGGCAGGGACAGATTCATCACCACTGAAATCTTATATTGCAGTCTATGGAACACTTTTATCCCTCTAAATATAGGGCAGAAATATTAAGGACCTGATGATTTAAGAAAGGGAAAAAGAGAAGAAAACCCCTGATAAATCAATGTGAAAAGACTGGTTCTATTTAGTTATTTAAGTGACTATTAAGAGCAACCATGATAAGAATATACAGACTAATGAATGACAAAGATCAAGATCTTGATTTATCCTTTCAGAATACAAAAGAAAGATGACCTTTATTTAAATGAAAAGACTGAAATTTAGATCGGATAAAAGGGAGTGCTCTCCCCTTTTTCAGTCTACTGGAGTACTTACCACAAAACTTAATTGAGGACAAAAGCTTAACGGGATTCAAATAAGGGCAAGCATTTATATGGATAAACACAAGCCTCACACTCAGAAAACAAACTGAAGCTTTAGAAGAGAGGCTGGCATTCAGGCTGTGAAGCACAGGTCTCCCAGTGTCTGGCTAGACTGCAACTTCCCAGCAGCAGTGACAATCATCTAGGTGCAGTGAATTAATGGTCTGACCCAGTAAAGAAAACCCCCTTGGAAACACAACAAATTAATAGCATCCTCTTGCAGAAGCTCCATGTATTGGTCTCTTTGAAGCAGCCAATGCCACTGTGGGTTTTGTGGTCTGGGTGGTTTTGGGTTTTGTTGGTTTTCTTTTTTTTTTTTTTTCCCCTTTATAAAGAAAACAGTCCTTGCCTTAAAAGCTCATAACTTAAAACCTCCAGATAAAAGGAAACTGAGAAGCATGCGTGTAGGGGCAACACTTCCAATTACTCCAATTACAATTTTGCTGCTTAGAGGAACTGCAGAAGAAATATTTTAAAAACATTTTAAGAAGATCTGAAGAACTCTATGAGCATCTGCGCAGCGAAAAAAGGAGATTTTTGCTCCATTCAACTCAACTGTGCAGTTAATGGAAAAAAAAAAAAGTTGGTTAAGTTGAAGAGAGCCAGGCCCACACCCTCACACCTCCCCATCATTCTACCTTAAGTGGTCCAGCTACGGGGAGGCTATATTTAGCCATGTCCCTGTTGCTGTGGCAACCAGCGCCTGCTCCAGCTGCACGCCAAGTGGAAAGAGCAAGCTTCCTCTGTAATGTAATTATGCACTTGCTACTTCCCTGGCAATAAATACCATAGTTTGATATTTTTCTAGAAACAGTCAACTGATTTTTTGTTGCTGCTGATTTTTTTCATCCTCAAAGACATCAAGCCTCGATTTTCAGTTCTAAGAGTCTCCCACCTTAGACAGCAGCCAGAAAATTTACAGAGGAACCACTCATTTAAGTGTAATAGGAAGCTGCAGATTATAAATTGTCACTTTAAGTGTTCAGAGCACAGGAGAGGAGGCCACAGCAGAGAATCTAAATGCCATTACCAGAAGTGGCATTCATCTAATGCTGCTATGTTTATTATAAATAAAAAAGTAACAGACACACCAAGATGCAGTTATGTCTTCTCCTTACAGACCTGGATGCAAATCATGTAAAGTCTGCTCTATTTCTGTATTTGTCTTGTAATACATTTCCATAAAACTAACATTCAAATACGTAAAAGTACGCACTATAGCTAGCTGTAAGATGCTACAGCGTCCTAAGTCACATCTGTCTACTCAACATGCTATTCCCCTTGAACGGGTGAGGAATAATGATGGGATTCCTAGTCTAGGTTTATTCTTAGAGCATGGAGGCCTTTCTTTCTTTTTTTAGTGACAGGACAAGGGGTAACGGGTTTAAATTGAAAGCAGATAGATTTAGATTAGATATCAGGAAGATTCTTCACGGAGAGGGTGGTGAGGCACTGGAACAGGTTGCCCAGAGAAGCTGTGGATGCCCCATCCCTGGAAGTGTTCAAGGCCAGGCTGGATGAGGCTTTGAGCAACCTGGTCTAGTGGAAGGTGTCCCTGCCCATGGCAGGGGGGGTGGAACTGTATGGTCTTTAAGGTCCCTTCCAACCCAAACCATTCTATGATTCTATGATGCCTAACCTGTGGTCCCACATGAGAAATTTATGGTCAGTCCAAAGAGCAGCTAAGTAGAGTTACCATTCATTCATGCCCTTGGATTCATTGGACACCCATGTCCTCCTGTGGTTAAAGACTCTTAGCGGTGTTAATGGCCTGTGAGCTATGACTGTGCAGGCGTTGGCAGCTGCAGACATTGATTCTGTGTGCTGCAAACCCAACTGACTTCACAAAACCAAACAGAAAATAGAGGCTTTTTCAAGTATTTTTCCCTGGCACAGAAACCAAGGCCTTCACTGAAATGGAACTGTCATTTAAAGTGGTTCCTTACATACAGGACAAAGTTCAAGATGTGTGCTTTTTTCTTTATCACTATTAACCTTTTCTTGAACCCTTATCCTTTAGATTCTCAAGGTAATCACATAGTAAGGAAAAGCGAGCAGAAACACAACGTGATGTGCTCAAGGGTAGTCAGAACAAGAAGTCAGTAAGATCCTGGTTTGTTGCCTTTCAAATCATCTTATCCAGGTTAATACGTATCAAAAACATACATAGAATACTCTGAGTATACATCATTCTGTCCTGAGAAGCTGAAGAGATCAACTCTGCCAAATGGGTAACTACAAAATTTCTTCAGACAAAGAAGAAACTGAGGCAAGAAATGGTTAGAGCTTCAAAGTTCCAAAAATTTGTAACACAACAACATTAAATCCTTTGAAAGCAGAATGGGTTTTGTCATGCTGGCATCTTCAGAGGGCGAGTTTCACAAAAAGCAGGTCCCTTTATCTATTAATAATAGTACATGGGCAAGGAGTAACCTTTGACTTACAAACCCTGAGTTGCTACCACCACTGTACTATAATCCTCATCATCTACTCCAGCTTTATTGGGAAATATTAGGCCTCCTGCCACAGAGCGCTGTCTTGAGTCTTTGTTTCTAATTCAAGTTTCTCTACATGAAACACTCACTCTTATCTCCCAATTGTTTAACTAAAAATCCAAGCCTGACGTCACTCTGATGTGCTACTGGTGACTCCCATCACTGACTCCCATACTGGCCGCTAGCTCTTACAGCCTGCACCCACAAAGAAACTGGTTTAGATGTGAAATATTTGCTCTGCATCTGTGCAACACTTGAATAATTGAATCCCGATCTGCATTGAAGATTCCCAGATAGTGAGATGATTCAAGAAATACCGATTGTTTTTCCTAATCTTTGTCAGATTTGGAGGTTTGCCCCATATATACGCTCCTCCTACTGTATTTGTTTGGAGGCAAAGCCATGGTGACTGTCACGCATGGCTCTACAGGTACTGGAAGTGTACTTCAGACCTGACCTAGAGCAACCCCCAGGAAGCGGGTTTAGCATCGCAACAGAGATGGCCAACAGCCTGGGACAGTCAACAACAGTAAGAAAACAGCCTGGAGGAACTACATGGCAACCGTGTGCCTCAGTTTCTCCTGGGAGCTAGCTAGGAAGTCAGCACACGTCTTCCGTGGCGACAGTGGTGTGCATTAACTCGTATTTTAAAGAGCTGGTCTCTCCAATTCTGCTTTTCCAAATGATCACACACTTTCCTCAATATACCTCCTACTGTATAATGAGAACATATTCTTTGCATCCATTTTACTTACAATGACTTAGAGAAATAGCCTTAAGAAGGTTATTCCCAGGAACTGTAACCACCCCCTCAGAATAGCAGGTTGTTGAGTTAGTGCTGATGAGTCAGACGGGCTTTTTAATTCTGTTCTAAAAGGAATCACCACAACAGTGGAGAAGGGAGAGGAAAAATAAAAAGGGAATCGAGTGGAAAAGGCTTCCACCGTCTGATGATTCATGCACCATCAGCGTGACTCACCCAGCATTACTCTGCCATTAAAACATGGAGACTAGGCTGATTAGTCACAGTAATGAATTTTTCAAGAAAGGATTCTCCCCTATAAATAATGATGACTTTGTCTGGATAGTGTTAGCGTGACTCACCTTTCCAGCATGCCGGGCAGCACCAATCGTGTCATCTGCAAAAAGAAAACATTCGTGATGGCTGAGAAAGCAGACACCAGACAGCCAGAGACTGAGGGAAGCCTCCCTTCCTCCCAGAAGCAGCTGCCACCCCCTCCACCCCAACCAAGGCTCAGGGAAGCAGAGACCATACTTTGCGTAGGCAGTTTATTTTTATTCTACCTGGATAACTTGACTCTGTCAAGTAGCGTGTGCACTGAATCTGGTGAACCCATCCAGCTGGTAGCATAAGTACAATAAGAGTAAATAAAAAAAACCACACGTCTTCACCACTCCACAGTACCTGCAGCCTCTAAAGAACATTAAAACACTGGAGGACTACAGTACACCTATGATCTTTCTCTCCCCACAAAAAGCATCTGTCTTCCTCAAGACTAACTAAATTTACCACCTATGCCAAGACTACCTAATGCATTTCAGCTGGGCTTACAGAACCGCTGATTTTAAGTTTAAAAAAAGGGGGAGAAGCAAGAGGACTGAACTAGTGAAGATAAGTTTCCTACATTATGTTGCCTACAGAAAACTTTTAAAACCCCAAAACCACTTTTTTGCTGATTACACAGATGTTTTCACACTGAGGAACAGACAACACGGGAAAGCTTCTGACTGCTCTGGAAGCTCCTGCCTTTGTTATGGCTCTGAGCAATCTATTTACAACGTGGTTGAAGGATTCTCCAGAGCAGTAATCCTCAACCAAGCTCCTCAGTTGCAGACAAAGCAGCTCTGACAAGGGAAACAAACCAAGCATTCATCCAAATTTTGAAAAATCTTTAATTAGGGTGAAATAGTTAATTTCCTACTACTCATTACCATCCTAAAATATGATTTAAATTCAAAATTTCTGCCTTTAAGATATAATGTCAAAGTTCAGCTTGTGCCAAATACTAGCCTGCCCCCAACCAACCCTGTTAATGTATGTCACGTCACTGACACCAAAGACAGATCAGACAAGAAATATAAATTGTTACCACTTTTCACATCTTTAAAAGGTGTCCCAACAAAGTTCTTGAGATCACAGTGAGGAGGGAGTAATAAAACACTAATGGCACCAAAATGTAATGGTATTCCCACTGATACCAAATTACCCCGATAGATTAACACAAACATTTGAGTAGTATAGAAGGGAAAAAAGCCCACCACACACACACACAAAAGAAATCAGCATATACAGGAGCACAAAACCCCTGTAACCATTTCTATTGCAAAGAAACAAATCTTTATTGTAGCAAGCTGCCCTGTTACCATCACCACTGCATTAGTCCTTATATAGGACTGAATCTGGGTTTGGAGTTATTTGTTTTTAATTTTAAATTATAAAACACACCCTTTCAGGAGTAAAGGAGAAAAATCACAAAAGAAAAATAATTCAATAGATTGCAGTTGACACACAAAGAAAATGGTAGTGAAGGGCTGTGTTTTGTATTTTATTGGCATTTCTCGCTTAGAATATATACCGCCATCAGCCACGCTGCGTAACAGCTTCGATAAGGGACTGTACAGGCAGGAGTTGAGCAGACTTTACTTCCATGAAGTTGACATATTTAATGCTCAGCACTGCCCCAGACTCACACTAAGTATTCAGAGTTGGTAAACATCACCAAGCTAAACAGATCTGATGCACCTTCAAAACAACCTCTAATATTAAGTCTAATTATACATGAGCTTTTTAATACAGTAAAGCTTCAAGAGAGATGTGGAAACAACTACTTCTTTTAATGTTAAAGGATAACAGTACCTGAAGGTACCTGAAGGGGCCGACAAGGAAGCTGGGGGGGGACTGTTTACAAGGGCCTGTAGGGACAGGACAAGGGGTAATGGGTTTAAATTGAAAACAGGGAGGTTTAGATTAGATATCAGGAAGAAATTCTTTACGGAGAGGGTGGTGAGGCACTGGAACAGGTTGCCCAGAGAAGCTGTGGATGCCCCATCCCTGGAAGTGTTCAAGGCCAGGCTGGATGAGGCTTGGAGCAACCTGGTCTAGTGGAAGGTGTCCCTGCCCATGGCAGGGGGGTTGGACCTGGATGGTCTGTAAGGTCCCTTTCAACCCAAACCAGTCTGTGATTCTATGATAAGAATGATTTGGGCTGATTTTAAGACTAGTTCAAGACTGGCAGATCTTTTATCTGGTGCAAGCTTTATGATCTCTCCCACAGATCCCCTAGCAAAAAGCAGCATACTGTTTCTTGCCTCTCAGGGTAGCGTAATGCTGCGTATCATCTCCATACACTGACACGTGGACCGAAACTGCCTTCACTTCAGCAACCCATAAACGGTCTGAAAAACCAGTACAGGATGTCCCATTGTAATGCAGAGAAGACCCCATGTTTGAAACTTTGTCAAATGCATTCACTGTCTAAATCCAGACTGCAACCACCAAGCAGCTCTAGCAGCTTATCACGAACATGCTGTTACTACTGCTATCCCAACGAGAGGGCAGAGAAACCTGCTACTATGACCGCTTGACTTACATAAATTTAAAAAAAAACCCAAAACAACTAAAAAGCCACTGACAGCTGAGATATAGGTACACAATTCATGTAGAAATGAAGCCTTTCACCACCAGCTGTCTTAAATAGTCTGTTTCTGAAGTTCAGCTGGACACGCCAATTTTTTTTTTCCCTCCACAGAAAAACACAGATGGCAAAACTGAATTTCATACTCAACATCGCTTCCATTTGTTTCCCTTAAAACTAATATTTTAAGGGAATTTCAAATGTCTGAAATAGGGCAAAACTGTTTATCCTATCTGTATTTTTACATCTTGTGATGTGTGAAAAGGGATATATGAATATTAAGTATCTTTACATACAGAAAAAAACCCTGGTTTTTTTTTAAGAATAAAATAACAGAAGGCAGTTCTCTGAGTCAGTCTCACCTCAGCCAGCCGAGTCCACACTTGCCCTGCCAGCATTTTTCTAATAGTGCATCCCTCTTCAGGTCTGGCAAATTTTTACATTGTACGCACACATAAAATATTCCCAGCATTAATTAAAATAAATCCATCTATAGCAGAAATGTAGTTTTTCCACTAATAACAGTGTCCAAAGGTGGTTGTCTGATTCACATCCAAAATAGCCAAACTGGCTAACACTCTGGTCTTCAATAGCTATAATCTCAGACATGTCATTATGAAATAGGTAGTTCAGCAACAAATATCTAGAATTGAATAAATATCTCCCAGATGAAGAATCCAAATTTTAGCTAGGTCTTATTTACAGATGTACAGTTCTGTAACTGGGTGTATTTAATAAATGCCGAAGAATTGCAAGTCTGAGCCTATAGGAATTAGCATGTAGATTGCCAGACAACTCCGTGGTAGTGTATGTTTCCCTGAAGGCAATGCAATAAAGGAAGAAGTGGCAGGAAACCTAGAGGAGAGGCTGGGAACTACCCTAAGAGTGTCTTCAGTTGGCGGTTAAGGAACTCACTCGGGCTTCCTTCACAAAACCATTTTTCTGAACAAATACTACTTTCCACAGAAATAGCAGTGCTGCCGTTGAAAACATGAATGTACCCCCAAGATTCCAAAGGCTCAGGTAATTCAGACCAGTAGCCAGGCACTAGACTATGTAGAAACTGCCAGCTCATCCAAAGCAGACTTTTTTTCTTTCTGAAAGTTTGCATTAGAGCAGAGTGAGAACGTGTGTGCGTCTGAGGAATTTGCTCTGGACAGTCTTCCAACATCAGAAGTTGTTAATCTTCCATATTTTATATAGTTTGGCAAAAAGTTATATTTATCACACAACCATGAAGCAATAGTTGTTGAATTTTTTCACTTATTTGTTTTTTTCCAATGATTTCACATATACACATAATGCTATCATAGAGCAAGGTATACTTCCTTTGGTTCGGAGGGCTGCATCATTTCTGAGTCAACTTCTTTCACATCTAACCCTCCAGCTCCTAAATTCCAGGATGCTCACAGCAAATGGCTAACTTAAGGTAGAGATTCATTACAGACCATTTTATTTACCTTTTACAGGCAGCTACCATTTCCTGATGTCCATTTATCTGCAACTGCATTTACTACACGCCTGGCAAACGGTGGTTGCATTGTCCATTCTTCCTCACCAGACCTGCCTTCTACCTCGTAATTTTGGAAACAGTAACACCGCATTCAGTCTGAAGAAGCGGGGATTCCTACTTTCAGATTCTAAAATGAACAGCCATATGGCTAGATTTATGTTCTAAAACAGATGTTACATTTAAAAGCTCCTATTTGAGGACTAACAAAGGGTTACAAGTTATAACCATATATATTCCAGTGTTTTCAGAAAAAAAATATCCCATTCTTAGCGATCACCGTGTTGTAGTCTTTTCTCACTTCAATCCAAGCAATAGCTCTTGGAAAGAATATTAAATTGTAAAGTTCTGAATACCTTTCAAGTGATATTCACTCAAACCACTAAAAAACAACAGGAAGGTAAATATTCAAAGCCATCCTTCACCTCTTACAGGCCACACAATTGTTACACAAAGCCAGGAACCTGACACCACAGTTGTATATTTAGAGACAAATCTAGATACTGTGGTATGATGTTACAACTGCAAGTCACTCTTTCAATTTCCAACACGTATAATGATCTGTAATTAAGCCTATGCAAATACAACAAAGTATGAAGCTAGAGAACTTGCATAACAAAGTAGAAAACTTGTCCATCTAAGAAACTTCCTTCAGATCCCATTCACAAAAGAGGGGGTGTGCGCTGGCAGCCCAGAAAACCAACTGTATCCTGGGCTGTATCCAGAGAAGTGTGGCCAGCAGGTCGAGGGAGGGGATTCTGCCCCTGTACTCTGCTCTTATGAGACCCCACCTGGAGTGCTGCGTCCAGCTGTGGAGCCTTCACTATAAGAAGGATATTGACCACTTGGAGCGAGTCCAGAGGAGGCCACGAAGATGATCAGAGGGCTGGAGCACCTCTGCTATGGGGACAGGCTGAGAGAGTTGGGCTTGTTCAGCCTGGAGAAGAGAAGGCTCCGGGGAGACCTTATAGCA